CTGCGTTTCTGGGTATGTAGGTAGTGCACAAAAAAGCATATTTTTGTACAAAAAAACTGTGATATTAAGGAAAAACTATCACAGACATTCGGCAATTATGTAGATCGATACATCTGCAAATTAAGCTTGTCTGATCCGAGCAAATATAGTTTGCCCAACGTTTTTAGCAGTAACGCAATAATGATCGATTTTTTTCGATTACTTGTCCCCCGAGTGAGAGGGAAATTGGATGTCATTAACCGATGATGGCTGTTTCTATGAATTTTTTTAGTTATTATTTCAAATTACCCATATATTGTCTATTTGTTTGTGTGTTATTTTCGTGTGCAAAATATCTCTAAACAATATTGTGAGGGCAAACAAACGGTATACTTTTTGTATTGTTTATACTCACTTTTTGTATGAGTTCTTCTATATTTCCTTCACAATTTGAGCCCAGTTATTAAAGAAACTGAACGAACTGATTTATTTTCCCAATCGATCGTTTACATTTAGAAAATTGTTGTAGACAAGAAAGCCATGTTGTCGACTGCTCTCGTAAAAAGTTATTTCGGATTTTATAAAGAAAAATAAACTTTGCTACTTAATATACTACTATAAGGAATATTAATAAGGAATGTTTAATTTATTAACAGTGAAAAATGAAGAGAGTCGGAAAAACTTTTATGAAACTGTGTTATCACGCGTGTAAAATGTGTAAAAACGCTAAAGCTGGTAACCACGCATCATGAAAGCAAATCTCTTGAACCAATCTCGGATATGAGTAAATTTCAATATGGCGTCTCAATTAATGACGTCACTGCCAAATAATTTGGGACAAAATAAATCTGTTTCTTTATGCGTAAACCAACAAAGCTAGCAGTTGAAGCAAGAAATAAAATAGCCAAAAAATTACCATTTGAATGATGGATGCAAAAATCATTAGTTCAGCGTTTCACTCTTATTATCTACTTTAATTTTATGACAACACTGCAAAAAATCCCTTTACAATCACATCAATTTTGCATCACCCGGTAAACTGACAATGAATAATGGCAAAAAGACAGTCATTGGATGGAATTTGTGACGAGATTTATGGCAACATTGCACTTGACTTTGAAAAACCGGGACCTTTGGAAACAACCGCTTTAAAGCAGTTTGTTGGCATTTATAAAACTCGCTGTTCTGAGCACCGAAAAAAGCGGAATTTTTCGGCATAGAAACCCCTCTGAAATGACGGATTTGATAAATCGGGCAACGGTTCTTGGGGAAATTAATTCATGGCCTGTCTGAAGACATAATTACTGTTAATTTGTCAGGAAAATATGCCCTGGTCCAGGTGGTCTTTAATAAATAGCTCTCACTGATACAATAATTGGAAACCCTGCTGGTAATTATCATTAGAAAACTTAGGGATTGCTGAATTTGTGCTTGAACGACCGGTGTTTTCCTACAATTTTTAATGAGTAAAGTCTTTGCGCAATGAAACTGCCTAAAAACCGCTAGCTAAGACCGGCAGACAGGACAATTAAACATTTATTTACCACTACTGCCACTGTATCGATAAGAACAATCAAAGACTATGAGGAAACTCAATAGAGCTGTTGGAAGAAGCTTCTTTTCTTTAATGCGACGCTCGTCGAGAGCTCAGCGCCGACTTCAGCTGGAAACCCAGTTCGGAATGCAATTAAAACAGAGGGCCAAGAGAATTATCTTTGCAATGTTGTAACTGAGTTAAAGCAATTATTTGATTGGCGTTTTAATTAGATCACCAGGATTGGAGAATGAATTGATAAATTGGGGATTTTGGGTTTGCTCTGTCATCGCCACTTTCATTCGCATTGTCTCTATCAGTGATATAATACGGTCGAACCAAAAAGGTTACGAAAAAATTGCTAGTTAATGGGCACTAGACTAGATTTCGCACATTTCGCTTCAGTTGTTAGACAGTCTCCATTAGCATCAAAGTTCGATTAATTCATGTCAATTTCCCGTGGAATATTGGAGTTCCCATCTCCAATTTCAATGGCTTTTCCATTGGCTGCTAACGAGTTCCGATTGATGGATAGCCCTGAGTTGCCCGTGAGTGCGTGCACCATTAATATAATTAGCTGCGAAGCTGGAGTTTTATTCAGGGCTTTCCACCAGGAGAGATTGTTATTGGAAACTGGATGACCGGTGGTAAACCTGAATATTTTCCGGTTGTTAAGCCGCCGTCTGTAGGACTTCCCTTCTATCGTTTCGCTAGCCCTCAGGGCTAAAATCTTCAGTGCTGTACCTCGGCAGGCGCCTCGACCCATTAATCCCAAAAGCCCAACAGTTTTTCAAACAAAAATATTTCAGTAAACGATAAATGTGAACAAATAAAACTCGAAATTGTCGCAGGTTTTGGGCGTTTCCTGATAATCAGTCATCGAGAAGAAGTCAACACACTCCTAAATGCCTTGTTGCCAATCGCTTCCTTGTATTTGTTTGTCGAAGTTGTTTAAGTTGGACGCAGCATAAGCGGAAAACTTTCCTTGGTTATGGCGAGATTGGGAAACTCCTTAATCCGCCAATGAACGTTGGTCAATTCCATATTTCGTGAGAGTGGGCGAAGAACCGAGCATGGAAGCGCTGGATAATTGTTTATTTTGCAAATTATGATGCATCAACCACTCAGTGAGGATAAATAAATTGGGAGGAGAAAGTAATATTGACGGAAACAATAATTTCGTTCTATGCTTCGCAAGTAGCATAAAACGACAACTCTCTTTCGTATTGGCGAAGTTTATGAAAATGCCCTCAGAAGCTACTTGAGCTAATTTTCTTTGAAATAAGTGGATTTTATGCAAGCATGTATATGCTTTATATGCAAATATTGCCGGAAGTATTAATAAGGACATCATTGGCAGCCAAGTGCACCTCGCTCTGCCATTATAGACAGAATAAATTTGGGAGAGAATAAACAGTAAACATTGTGGCAGGCTTCAAGAAAATATGGTTAATATCAAATTTCCCCTACATGAACAGAATGCACAGGGTGATTCATGTAACAGGTTAGAAAAATGTCCCTCATCATATAAAAAAATTACCTAAATCGCATCCTTTTGGAATTTTTTGCGAGTTTTTTCCTCATAAGTTTTAAAGCTACCATCCGATTGTAATGTAATTCGGAAAACAAACACTGGTACTAATGACCGTACTCTAATTGGAAAATTTCTTGCCTCTCACTATTTTTCATGTTTTTATTTGTTTCTGAATTATTTAATGAAGTTCGGGACAATTTAAAATGTACTTAAAACAAAACTAAATGTTTTGTGTCAATTAACATTTGCTCAGGGTATTGTTATACGTCTATTAAGTGTTTTTTGTCCTATGAAAAAATTATTAAAAAATCAAACAATAATTTTATCATGACTGATGAAATTATCGATTCAAATTATTTTTCCAAATTTTACCTTGTTTTTGAGAGATTTTTGAGAGAATATTCGGAAAAGCCATCCAAAAATGTTGGCCGCCATGCGTTATTTTGTTTACACGTTCACACTAGTTTTTCGATGCAAAAAATGTATTGTAACCAGAGGAATGTACTTGCATGCATTGAAGCAATTATTGTTATTTTTGAATTAGTTGGTGAAAGTTGTTGCATTAAACTTACGTTTTTTGTCCAAGTTTTCAAACAAAATTAGTAGGAGGGTGAACCACAATATACAATTCTAAAGAGTTTGGGTGGTTTAAACTTAAGGCGCATCTGTAAGGTCATTAAGAGTGTTTGTATGCCGAATATTACTAAAATCATCATCAATACTATGAAACAAAAACAAAAAAAAATATTTTTCACGCTCTGTACCTCTGAATCCATGCAACTTATTCCACATTATGCGACTTTATTCCAACTTGATATCTCGATTCCCAAAGTTATCATGATTAAACCTGAATCACCCTGTACAGAAAATCCGTTGAATGTCTGCTTCGGACTGAGAAAGTTCTCACCCAGACGGAAATAAAAGAACCCTGTGCTCTTTCCGACGCATAGTCGCTTTTATCGTCTGGCTTTCTCCCACTTGTAATATTGCAAGAATGGAGCAAAAACCGAACGTTTATTTAGTTTATCATGTGTGTTTTCAATTATTGCTGATATTCCAGCCATGGAACTTGAGTCAATATTTGCAGGAAAATTCCGTTGGAAAATTCTTTCCGGTGCTTGCGTTATCTTTACCGAGCCAATTGAAACGTCTGTTTATAAAAATAGTGGACGTTCGACCAGGCTGATTGGGAGGTTCGATTGGGCACCTTCCAGAAAACTGGTGAGTTTGGGGCTTCTTGATGTTCTTCCTGACGTGCATCATATGCGGTGTTAACACCTCAAAAGTAGTCAGGAAAATTATTTTGCTTGACTTTTAAAAGCTGGAAAAACTGTTCAGCTCTTGGTTTCGTTTGAAGAATGTGAGATTCTCTGTACAATTGAACTTTTCAAACCAGACACTGTTTGAAACTCGTGCGTCTTCCGCTATTAGGTAGTGGACAATTATTTGATGATGTTTGCAACTTTAAAGCTGGTTTGCTGGGCGCAGCAACCGCCTCTGAACATGCACACCATACATGTTTGCGAAACGTCAAGTAGAAGTTGTCCCGGAAAAATTGGCCAGTTTCGAGCTATACCAGCAAAAGCTTTACTTTTTTGCATCATCCCATTGAAGAATGTTTTATAATTGGATTTCTGAAATAGCATTTATTGTTTTCGTGGCGGTTCTTTGCCATTTAAAAACATTCAATTACGGTCCGTATTGGCGTTTTATATGCAAAACAAACTATATTGATAAAGGGCGTGTTTGTTTAATGTCTAAACCGGAATTATTTGCCGGTAACTGGGTCGATTTAAAGCAATAATGCCTCATTCGGGCGCAGTTAAGCCGATTAATTGCCTGGACATGGGCTTTGGGACATTTGAGTTTATTTATATGAAAGCACACATATTTTCCTGGCAACGAGGTTCGGGGCCCGAAGGGCATTTGCCTTTGTATATTTTATTCGCTCACCTTCAGATCCATGAATTTCCGTTGAAAACTATAGCACTAATTCCTCTGATGCTGTTCAGATCACCGGATTATTCAGTCATGTTTCACTCGTGCGGTTATAGAGGTAAGTTTGAAAAGTTGCCGAGAACTTTGAGCTGGAGTTTTGGTGGTAAAACGCGCTCCGGGTCCGCTTTTAGGAAGAGACGCGTGCGATGGCACACTGAATGAGCATCGCGACGCCTTGGACGCCCGTTTACGCGCCTCCTCTGTGCGTTTTTCCGTTCAGCTGCCTCAACGCTTTTGAGGCTTGAGATAGGCACCTAATTTATGTCTGCAATCAGTTCACATGAATGAAGGCAAATTCCTCAACGTAAAAAACAAAGTCTTTTGTACATTGAAAAATCGTTTTCATGTAAAATTTTGATTCCGTGATATGGCAGCCTTAATCTTTGATTTGCGTGACGTTACGAATTTCAAATTTTCGAGTTAGACAATTGGGTTTTTTTTGCAACGAACGTTTTCTGGACAAGTTTTGAGTGGAAAACTTCGCCGAATATTCAAGCTTCTGACTTAAGCTCAATAACCCCCCAATTTTTCTATTGTAAGGCGCACAACTTGCTTATTTTTTGGCAGATTTACAATTGTCGAAAGGCAAATGTTAGAGCCTTGATTTAGCTATGCAGGCAAGGTTCACTTAGCCAGAAAAGATAAAAACTAACTGTGTTACGAGAAAAATATTGGAGTGTTGCATCGAGTTCATTTTTTTCGAAATGGCAGCTTTGATCTTTGATTTTCGTGACGTTCTGATTCTATGTTTGAATTTTAAATATCTAAGTTAGAAAATTGGGTGTACTTGCAACTAACATTTTTTTGGCAAGTTTTGCGTCAAAGCTGCGCTAAAGATTCAAGTTTCTGACTAAAGCTACATATTCCCCCAATTTTTATATTATAAGGCACACAACTTGCTTATTTTTTGGCGGATTTGCAATTGTCGAAAGGCATATGTTAGAGCCTTGATTTCGCTATGCAAGCAAGGTTTAGCTGGCCGGAAAAGTTAAAAACTAACTGTGTGACGAGGAAAATAATTGAGTGTTGCATCGAGCTCCTTTTTTCGAAATGGCAGCTTTAAATCGTGACGTTCCGATTCTTTGTCTGAATTTCAAATATCCGAGTTAGAAAATTGATTTTAGATGCGACTAACGTTTTTTGGACAAGTTTTTCGTGGAAGAAGAAGATTTCTGAAGATTCGAGCTTCCGACTTAAGCTCAATAACCCCCCAATTTGTCTACTGTAAGGCGCACAACTTGCTTATTTTTTGGCGGATTTACAATTGTCAAAAGCCATATTTTAAAGCCTTGATTTCTCTATGCAGGCAAGCTTGAATTGGGCAGAAAAGCTAAAAAGTAACTGTGTTACGAGGAAAACAATGAAAATGTGCCTCGAGTTCCTTTTCTTCGAAATGGCAGCTTTAATTCGTGACGTTCTGATTCTTTGTTTGAATTTCAAATATTCGAGTTAGAAAATTCGGTTTACTTGCAACTAACGTTGTCTGGGCAAATTTTGCGTGAAAAACAGCGCTGAAGATTCAAGCTCCTGACTAAAGCTAAATATTTCCCCAATTTTTATTTTATAAGGCGCACAACTTGCTCATTTTTCGGCGAATTGCAATTGTCGAAAGTCATATGTTAGAGAGTGTTTGCCCCTTTTTTCGAAATGGCAGCTTTGGTATTTGGTATAACCAGTAATTTGGTATCTTTGGCATTCGTAACGTTCCGATTCCTTGTCTGAATTTCAAATATCCGAGTTAGAAAATTGATTTTACATGCGACTAGCGTTTTCTGGACAAGTTTTGCGTGGAAAAATGTTCTGAAGATTCGAGTTTATGACTTAAACTCAACCATCCCTCAATTTTGGCGGATTGCAATTGTCGAAACCCGTATTTTAGATCCCTGATTCCGCTATGTACGCATGGTTCAATTTTCCAGAAAAGTTAAAAAGTAACTGTGTTACGAGGAAAAGAATAGAGTTTTGGATTGAGGTCTTTTTTTCGAAATCGCACAGTTATCAGGCTCGCTTGCTCCAAAACCAAAATCAAAACATGAGGAGTCAAGGAATTTTTTTATGTAACTTTTTCTTAGAAAACCTTAACTGAATGTACCTAGTAATATTGTAATATTCAACACCTTTCATCGTCAAATTGTAAAGGTATTAAGTGCGCACTGTTTAGAAATATTCGCAATCATATAAAATGAGTTAGAAATAAATCACTTTTTTTAATCGAACATGCTGAATTTTTAAATTATTAAGTAAATTTCAATTACGTTCAACTATTCGGCTTTAGCTATGAAAATGTGAACTTTTTTGATGTTGATAAATCGAAAGTTTCTATGTCGTTTTAAGACACAATTTTGGAAACTTGCAGGATAAACGATTACTATGTGGGTTCCAAAATATTTGTCTTCGAAGCTACCGGGCGGTCGTAATAATGAAAAAAATTAACGTGTTTTCATGCTAAAAAAGGGCTTATCTGCGCTATAACTTTTCTAACGCATTGAAAATTTGTAGGTTTATTATGTTGTCGTCTTTAGAGTGAGTAGAACAAAATCAAAAAAAGCACTACAATTTCGGACTCGTCGCTTTGCTCAGAAACACATGGAAGACTAAACTTATTTTTTCAAGCAGATTAAGGGCATAACTCATATGTTGAAGTTTCCTGCGGAAGCTTCGGTCATTAATACGCCGTATTCGCTACATTGAGCCTTACAGTTTTAACTATGAATATGAGCCATACTCAAACCATAACCATTATAAAATTATATTTTTTTAACCTTTTTTGGATGGGTTACCATTTATTGATACCAATTCTTTAATGTTCACGCCAATACCTAATCAAGCCTGCGAAACATCAATATCAACATCGGCCTTAAGTGACGTATTTTGTGCAAAACATTAACCGCCATAATTGGGCGCTATTCACACAAAATGTGCACGGCATGTATAGTTTCTCGACAATCAGGTCGAATAGCGTCGTTTCGTGTGGACACTACCTGTCCTGTTAAGACCATTTCTAATTTTCCTCTTCTGTACAGCTCGCGAATTTATGGTTCCATCTTAAGTGCCAGGTCCAAGAAAGCGCCTTTTGTAGGTGCCACGTGGCCCCTACACTACGTTCCTCAGGCGGGGCAATGTTTTAGTACATTTTTTGGGTCGTAATAAATAATCCCAATGCAAATGGATTGCCTAATGAGTTATCCGGGGCGATATTGTCGCTAATTGGTAATTAAACAGCTCGCGGATTCATTAAATTTAACGAGACTTTGCTGAATTAATGCCCTAATTAATTTTGGGTGCGCTGGAAACATGAGCATTTGAAACAAACCAGAAGCAAAAGATAGCGGATTTAGCAAAAACAAGTGAACGTTCTCTTCCCGGTTTTATTTTGCTAAGGAAATAGCGGGGCCAATTGCCCGAGCTGCTAACGGTTGGATAAACTTGTTCAGTTCGCAATTAGCTTCAATTAGCGGTTGTTGCAACGGCCAATGTCCATGACACCGACGAAAAACCAGCATGCTAAAAGGGCCCTCCGGAGGGCCCTTTTATCTCAACTATTGGAAATTATTCATAGACAGTCTGTCCTCGACTCGATTATATAGCCTTACGGGTTGCACACTGTCCCTTCGACTACGTAAATCACTTTTTGTTAAAGCGCCTCCCTGGTGATTTGCATTTGCCACAAATTCCCACTAATTCGGTCTCACTCATTAGGGAAAATAGTGTCTAAGACCGCGACAGGATTACATCAAAATTACATTCTTTAAGGCCAATACCCTTTAAGTAATTAATATTATAAAGTAAGTATTTAGTAAATACCAGTAGACTGAAGTACACTAATAATACTGAAATATAACATCAATACCTAAGAGTATTGCAAAGGGCCAAGTCCGTAAATAACCACCATGTCATCAAAGCAAAAATTATCCTGTCCAGAGTCGGAAAATTCAAACACCTACAGAATCAAAATAGAAACAACTGAATGGAAGTAGTAAGGTACAATTTCACAATTTTGGTCCAGTGTGCAAGACAACTTGATAAACAAAGGTTAGACCAACAACTGCGACAATAATACAGTCATGAAACAACTGAAAACCTAAATAAAATAATAACAAAGGAATGCATCAAGTGTCTAAAAAAGCCTTAAGTGTAAAAGGAAGCTGATCCAGAGAGAAGAGTTATGAGTGGAAAAGCTGCAAAAAATGGAGAAACAAAAGCAAAAGTTATACCACAAATGCTGGAAAGCGAAATAACAAGAACACAAAAAATATTATAGAAATATAATAACCAAATATAAATATGCGGTAATAGAAGCCAAAACTGGAACAATGTACAAATATTGAAAGCTTTTTCTATGAGATTCAACAATTATATTAAACTCCATAGACCCTAAAAAATTGGAAAATCCCTATAAATAATTATTAGTCGCAAAAAACACAATTCAATCCATCAACACGAAGTACTGGTGCAAGGGGAGCCAGTAATAATTACCTTTGAAGATATTAAAACGGCACTAAAAATTCTTATTAAAAAATGGAATATACGAAGAACTCATAAAAAATGGAGCAACTAAATTATGGAAGATTTTAACAGAAATGTCTGGATAACGTCCATACATAAGAAGGGAAGCAACGAAGACTGGAATAACTATCGGGGCTTAACTGTAACAAGTACACTTAGCAGGCCATACGGACGAGTGATAAAAGAACGTATATGCGAAGAATATCGCTCTTTTAAATAGGAAGAACACAACGGCTTTAGATCGGGGCGATCAACAATTGATAGCATCTTCTGTCTAACGCAATTACTAGAGAAAAGCATAGTGAGATCTCAAGAAGAGCGTCGACTCTAGATGAAAAGGCAGGACTTTTTATCTAGAGTTAAAAAGACCCAGAGAAAGCCTCCATGTCCAGAAAGCTGATAGAAGAATACCAAAATGGAGACTAGAGTTAAATTTAAACAAAACCCAATATCAATGTACCTATAGGGGAAGAACCAGCAAGTGACCTGGACCTGGAACATCAAAAAATCAAAGTTTTGAATGCATATATACAGGGTGGGCCAACGAAAAGGTCGCACCCATATGTATGACTCTCCTAGTAGATCTAGAAAAAAAATCTCGAACACGTCAACTTCGATTTTTCAGGGGACATCCTGCTAACTATGCATTATACAAGGTGTTTTATCAACAAGATGCTATGTCACACTTTTGATTTTCAAATGGAAACCTACTAGTTTTA